TAACCAACTTTACCGACGTCTTTTAGCAACCGGGTACCACGATCTGAGTATTATCATTATTTTGTTTATTTTCAAATACTAATAGTAAGTGACAATTTAAAGAAAAAAAATTAACAGCGTAGAATAAAAAAAAAATAAATTAAAAAAATGAACTAATTTACTTTTTTTTAAGTTAAAAAAACGACGATTTGAGAGCTCAAAATGAAATATTGAATTTTTTTAAGCTATTCACACAAATACACCGCGCTGGATACCCGGGTACCCGGTTACTAACATAAGGGTTAAATGGCTCAAGAGCAAGTGTATCATGATGCTCATGTTACATTGCAACATGAGCTGCTCAATGTGTTAAATGTAGTCTGGAGACTTTTTATTTTCTAAGAAATTTGGCACAACCCAAATAAATTCAATCGACGCAGATTTCTGCTTATCTGTCATACAATCAGTAAAATGTTGTTTCTATATAAGTTCCCTGGCTTAAGGACCGTGAAAAATATTAGCTTTAATATTTTCTGTGCTTAACTTCGGTAATATTATACTGATCTATTTTAAACATTTGTTTAAAGCTTTTATAAAGTGTTTTATCAGACCTAACTTTATGTGAAGAGGGGGTAATATAACACGGCCTCTGGCTATTAGAGGAGCATTCATCACATTCATACTACCCGGTACTATTATAATATAATCATATTTTAAGATCGACTCATATCAGCCAGTTATGTTCTATGTATTTTATTTCAAAAGTAGTCCTAATATACCTTTTTTATGCAATCAGATGCATTTTAACGGCATTCTCTAAACATACATATAGTCACCACAAACAACACAAAAACTATTCCGCTCATTTAAATAAGTTCTTCATAATGTAAGTATAGCGGTTTATTTATGAAATTAAATATTTTTTGCCCTAAAAATAAATTATAGTTAGCTGAGTAACGATATTTCAAAAATTACCTGTATCACTAAAACTAGAGCTGCTAGAAAGAAACTCAGGATAGATTTGAATGACGTCAAATTAGTAAGAAACAGGAAACTAGGAACTCCATAAAACAAAAAAGTATAATTTTGTTTAACAGTGTAATGCATCAAAAAAATAACTGAACTAACATTGTAATTAAATTTTTTTATTTTGTGATTAGAAGCTTTTGGATTCGGTAAAAAGTGAAAGAAACTCTTAACTCAGATCGCCCCTATATTATTTTTCCGTTATTAATTTTTGGTATTTTATCTTTCGTTTTTAATCGGTTTCAACCTACGATGGTTTTTTTTTGCTTTCAAAAATGATTCACCCTGGTCTGCACACCGAAAGTCTAATTAAACATAATTTTTAAAATTGTAAACACAAATACCGGATTTAAAAATATAAAGAATGTTAATACCAAGTTTATAATTATAAATTCCAAAAAAAATATTTTTGAATTTACATTTTTTCGCGCTCATCGATTTTTTTCATATTATAATTCTCTGAAAATCGCGACATGTAATAGGTGTAAGAGCAACACAATTTTATTCAATTCACTTTGTTTTTTTAATTTTCAAGCCCGGGCGCTTAAATCGGAATCCGGACTATCCCGACCAAACCGGGACGAACGGTCAGCTAACTTTAGAGTCTAGACACTCGTAAAAATCTTAAAAATTTATAATAATGATTTGTCTTTACGGGCTTGAACTCAAACTCACTGATCTCTAAGATATCCAAATTTAATATTTTGTGTAATTATTTCGCTTATGGACTTGTTTTAAAAGCTTTTGCATTCTGCTTGAGGGAAATTCTGAAAAATTATCTATTATTAACACTAGAACTACGAAATATTTTACGATAATGTTATGATTTTTATTAAATATTGTAGAATAATATTATAGATTATTTTGTTTTTACGCTTTTAATTTTTAGACTGATTCTGAAAATTCTGATTCTGAAAATTGAAAAAGTTTTTATAAAAAAGAAACCGAATTAGTCGAAAACCAATCTATCAAACTTAAATTTGACTATATTTAAAAAAAAAAAAATTTAAAAGGAGGATAGTGGGCCTCACTTGAAACATTTTATTTTAAACTGAGATTTGTTTCCTAACCTCTAATGAGCTAATACCGAGCAAATATATATATATATATATACAAGTATATATATCCAGCGTTCCTTCCGTCACTACTGCTGTTTTCATTATCCTGTTACTTATTATTTATTATAGCATGTACTTACTTTTATACTGAAAGATATGTAGGCACTTATGACCGTCTATTTGTGAGTATAAATTTTTGATTACTCTGCCGCGTTTTGGCACAAAAGTTTGCCCTTTCTTCAATCTAACCTGTATATTTTTATATACCAAAGAATACATATACATACTCAACAGAAACCCATACATATTTATCTTTACCATATACAATTATTTTCCATCCATAAAGTTTTTAACCTCTTTTCGTTTCATTAAGCAATATCAATATTTGTTTTAAATTTTTTTTTGTATATAAAAAACTGTTTATAGTTTAACACAATTAAAACTTTTTTTCGTCTGTATATTGACGGTCTTAACCTAAAACAAAGCAATGTACGTATTCAATGATCTTTACTAAAGAGTATAAAGGTGAAAACTCCGTTCAACATTTCGAAGTAACTTCGATCTCGTTTACATACCCATGCTAAATTAGTTGTTCGAGAAAGTCATGAGTCTATTAAAAAGGAAAAAAGCTTTCTGACGACTTTTGAAACTCAAGCCGACTGTATGTCATATAGCGTTAGTTGTATGGTTCGTGCTAGAAACACTACCAGATTAAGTTTTGCAAGTTTTGCCCGAAAGAAATGTAAAGCTGAAGCAAAACATCAAGAGAGGAGGTCAACACCGTATTGTGGAGGTCAACAGTACTTTCAGAGCCAAAGTGGGTCAAAATTAAAGTCATTTATCTTAGTTGTTCTTTGACTTCAACTGGAATTTCGAACTGTAACCGTCATTTTTTGAGGAATATTACAGATTAAATGTTTTTAAACGATTTTCTAAGTTCCCTTAATAAGTATAAGTGCTTAATTATTTGAAAAATTCTTAAATTATTCATAAGGTTCAAGGTTCAACTCAATGTTTTTCTATCCATATAATTCCATACAAAGTGCCACGGCTTGAAAATCGAATACGCATCAAAAGATATAATCTTAAGGGTATAATAATGTAATATTTCTAACGTTTTTTGCTTGCTTGGAATTTTGTGAGATGATGCAAAAATTTTGTTGTGTTTTTGAAACCATCATTTGAGACCATCTTAAGGGAATAATACTTTTTTATTTCTATCGCTTTTTGTTTGCTTGGGATTTGGTGAGATAAGCAAAAATTGTTTAGTGTTTTTGAGACTCTTAGCTGGCTGAGCTCATCTTTTAACCGAACTTACTAAATTCAATTGTTGTTGTTAAACAAGCATTTTTATCAAGCGTTCTCTTTCATGTAACTAGAAACTTATTTAGCTCAACTCAATCAACCATGTTAAGAGATGCGCTGAAATAACTGTTGCGAGTAATTGCGAAAATCTAAATTTCGAATGACAGACGAAGTAAATTTTTTCAGTCATTCTTCTTTTCTCTGATTCTCTGTAGGTAATTTAATTGCGATTCATGGACCGACTAGAAATGCATAAACAGTAAAGGAAAGTTAATCTCAACTCAACTCTGTAACAAGAACATGAAAAATCATAACCTAAAAAATCAAGAGCATAATTGTAGCCATGCAGACTATAAAGGTCACCATAAATTCTTAATGAAGTACCATAAAAGAGTGTTCGCAAAAGTGGCAAAAAAGCAACAACAGCGTAATACGAGTATTAAAGCACTAAAAAGCTAATATTAATACAAATGAAAATGAAAAAGGGTTGAAGCGCAAAGACAAAAGCAAAAAAAAAAAAAATTAATAAATTCAAGTATGTCGGCCGCATGCCAGTTCCACCTTCTCGTTTTCTTTGCACCTATACGCCCTCTCCGCCTTCATTAAGCAATTATGGGTATGCGAGAAAACAGGCGGAAAGTTTTGATTTCATGCCGTCGCGTCGTTGGCAAGCAGTTTAGTTGACGACTTTAATTTCTTCTATTATGAACGCAAATGTTTTGGTTGATTAGTTGGAAATTTTTGTTATTGCCGCACTTTATTTTTCTTTTTGGAGTGAGTGCTTTATTTTTCCTAATGTTGAGTGAAAAACAAAGATTTTTAATTAAAACGTAATCAGTAAACAAGTCTGCTGGCGACATGCCGTTCATTGCGGCCAGCGTTGCCTCGAGTCAATTAGCTAATGTTTGGTATAGTTTCGCAGGTGTGTTTTTGCATTTGTAAATACTAAGAAAAATCGGTAGGTAAGACGTTACGGTATTTAAAATAATACAATGGAGTTTAAAAGCTGAGGAAATATGCGAGGTTAGGAAAAAACTGTAGTGCGTATAAAGATTTATATAAATAAATGATCGGTGTGACGAGCAGAGTCGATTTAGCCAGGCCCGTCTGTCCGTGAGTCTGGGTATATGCGAACTAGTCTCTCAGATATCGATCTGAAATTTTGGACACGATCTTTTCTCTTCAAGGAGCTGCACATTTTTTGGAACCGCCGATATCGGTTCAGTATAGCATATATCTACCACAAATCTAACCAAAATAAAGTCCATAAAGTATTCCACACATTTTATATTTGATAAGATTACTTCACGAAATTGGGCATCAATTATTTCCTAGAGTAACGTTACAATTTCCGAACAAATTGTGAAACTTTTCTATTTGACGTAATATCTTCACGAAATTTGTCAGGAGTTATTTTCTAAGGCAACAATGTAATCTCCGAAGAAATTGTTCAGATCAGATCACTATATCATAAAGCTGCCATACAAATTCAATGATCGGAATCAATTTCTTGTAAGGAACCTTCGTATTTCTGAAGCGTATTATAGCTTCGGGTTTTTTTAAAAGTAAAATTTAAAATGTATTTAATTTAAAAAAAATTGGCACTTAATATTTCTTCATTTTTCATTCCAGCGCAACCCGATCAGCAGCAAATAGTAAAGTTACCAGTCTACAAATGAACTTTTGAAAATTTCTACAACAAAATAGTTAAAAAAATTACCAAAGTTTTGTGGAAAATATAAAAAAAAGCTAAATTCAATACAAAAAAGGGCAGAAAGTACAGGAAGAATTTGAATATACAAAAATTTAAGTGTTATATCCCAAAAATAACAACTAAAGTGTTGCAAACAATAAGATTTTAAAAAATATATCAGTGAAATAACAAATAAGGAATAAACAAATAAATATCTTTTCAATTAAAATCAGTTAGAAAACCACAGATAATAATAATAAAAAAAATAATTCATAGCAATCAACTACTAATAAAGTTAAATATTATATATAACTAAAACCATTGAAACCACAACAAAAATTGTCTGAATATAAATAAAAATAGAGAAAAGTGAATTTAATACAGATGTATGAATAATAGCAAAGATATAAAGAGCAAAAACTATAATATACTGTAAAATATACTAAAATCAATAAATTTTTGAAAAATTCTGAAATACAAAAAAATTTTAAAGTATTGTAAATTTTGTCTAAAAACTTTAATAGAAATACTTACAGGTATTACCATAATTATCAAAAAATACAAATAAAGTGAAAATTAAAAAAATATATTTACTGAATTGTATAAAATCGAAAAAGTTTCAACAACTTCACTTGTTTAACTATAAGCAACTAATAAATAAAGTGAAAACCAACAAACAGCTCAAGTTTGATATAGATAGAGATTGAAAAAAATATATTAATAAATAAAACATAAATATATATAAAAAAAATAAAATCTGAATTTTTCACGCATGAAATTTACAGGTATTTATCCAACTAAAGTACTTAATGCGGGTTGTTACTAAAAAATATTTAAAATATATACCATTGCAAAAAGCAGCAAAAAGTGTTTGAATTATACAAAAATTGCAATCAAGTAATAATAAGTGAAAGAAAAATTTAATAATCGCGCGTAGTGTAAATTTTGTGAAAGAAAAAAATTCATAAATATAAGAAAATCAAATTATCTGTTAAAATTAACAAAATTGTGCACCAGAGCCAACAAAAATTACAAAAAAATAAGCGAATTATATTACACGTCAGTGTTTTTACCTTTAAAATTCAACTGCATTATATTAACAGCATCAGCAGCAAACAGCTAAATCAGTCAAGATGCTTTTCGAGAATCCCGCATTAGCCGCTAAATTACCATTCCCGTACAATGTGCCACCACCATTACAGGCGGCCGCCGCCGCAGCAGCAGTTCCAAATCTAAGGTAAGCACACTGGCATACTTACTTACTTACATTATCTTATCCTTATATACTTTCATACTTACATATATACTTACTTACAAACTCCGCATAGATTCGTACGCAAATTTCTGCTTGATAACTCTTTCAATTATTCAGCATTTAAGGTTAAAGCATAATAAACAACCTTGGAGTTTTGGCGTAAAGTTTTCTTTCACCTTTTGTTTAGCCCAAAGTTTTGACGAGTACATGTGTATAGGTATGTTCAATTTAGTTGGCAACAAGTTTGTCAGGCACATACGATTTAATATACCATATATGTACATATTTGTACCTTAATTCTTGCTTAAATTGGTTAGACCTTGTACACATTCAACATAAACTGCAATTTTAACCATTCAATTTAATATTACATTCTTCAAATTCACTAATTTAACCAAGTTAGTTTAGGCTAATGTTCGGTCGTAGGATCTCACTTGGAGAGATATTTGTCCTTTGTGTTACCCATAAATATCGACAAAGCTTTTTGAGCTTACCACAAATTTACTAAGGCTGTTAATATCAATCCCAGCAACTTCGCTAGGTTCGCCAAAAAGTGTGTCTACCGAGATATTTAAATCTCAGTCTAGCAAAAACCAGGCAATAGAGGAGGAAGTGAAAAGATTATTCCACCTCGCTTTTTTCCATACAGCTTTCATGAAGAGCGTTTGTCAAAATATTTAGCCGCAACGCGTGTGAACCTATTGGACAGTGTTCAGTTTGAAGTCTGAAATTAGAGTTGATGGAGAGCTCCCGACAGAAGATTCCACCTCCTAATCTCCTTTTTAACTTCGATCCATACCTTATGTCTCAATCAACGTTATGATGACGGGAGAGGAGATCATTTAGCGTTACTCATTATGCATCGCGTGGAGGTGACCTACTTTACATCCCTTATCCAAGCTGGATTTTAGAATCTACAAAAATTGAGCCCTTTATACGAGGAAGGTCTGATTTTGACGGTTCAATAACTCCTATTTCTTTCTATTGTATATATTTTTAGTGGCCGGCCAATCGATATATTTTCGATTCAAAAATTTTATCTATAATCCCTCTATAGCACCAGCTTGTCCAGCGAAGATACTCGGACCCTCTTTCGAGAATTTAGAGCAACTTCTGTCTTCTCGATGTTGCCACTGAATTTATTTCATCAAGCTCACTGAACTTATTTCATCGTTTATGTTGTCAATATATTTCTCATAAAATAATATAATATGAATATCCGATTCTGTTCCGTTATCGTATGTCCGACAGTTTTCTAAATGGATTTTGCAATTACTTTTCGAAGGCAACAGAGTTTATATTATGCTAATTTTATAGGTCCATAGGGAAAAAAATTAAAAGTTTAACTACAATAACATACATTTACAAGAGCGCGCATTTCCAAACATACGCGCATTACGTTAATTTTCTGTGTGAACTCAGCAGCTAACGTCGCTGACAGCACCGAAAACGTCACGAAACATTCTAGTCGTAACCACCTTACTTTATATGTGCCATGTGCTGGCATGTGGCAAGTAGCAAGAGCCATATGGCGTGCGGTGTTTGGCATGAGCTGCTGCTCTGCATCACGGTTGACTGCTCTATGTTACACTTTCCTTTTTCCACCACTTATTTTCTGTTATTCTCCATTTTACTGCTGGCAACCTCCTTTCTGGTGCTCTTCGCACGCTTTCCAACAATAGTGGGTAACTTTTGCCATTCTTCCATTTCATTCTACTGGCTGGTTATGCTCTGTTTTTATTTATATTCGCTCGCTTCGACGCGATTTTAATATGTAAATTGGTATCACTTAAAGTAAATCATACTTCACCCGACCTCTCAGCATTTATTCGTCTTTCTGTTCTTTAATAAAATTGTTGGTGTTTCTTTTACTCGCTTTGCATGGCTGGTGCTGAGACTGAAGCTTACCGCGTTGGGTCGGTTGGTTAGTTACTCATCGCACTGACACTTTAAATGCAAAAATGTCAACTCTGGCCAAAGCAGCTGTTTTTTTTGTTGTGAATTTTCAATGAAAAATACACAGTTTTTATATAAGACATAGTAAAAATAAATCCATTAATTTTCCAATAGATGGCTTAAGTAATATGTACATACATATATCGTTTTGTATAAGTGCAACCGATTTACGCCATATGGCGTTTGAAAGAGATCAGGCTTCATACTAAGAAAACTGAAAATCGTCTAGTCCGACCGTCTTGGATACAAAAAGAAGCTCGATATATTAGTGCCACACGAGTTAACACAAAAAAAAAACGTTTGGGACCGAATTTTGCATTTGTAAATCGCAACAAAATCCATTAATTTCTGAAACGGCTTCTAACTGATGCTAAAAATGTGTATGCTTCTTATGACAACGTCAAAGGAAAAACGATACTGAGCGAATCGAGATCCGCCGGCGCAAACACTGCTTAAACCAGTTTTAACGGTCAGGAAGAATTTTCTATAAGTTTGTTGAGATTGGCAGGGAATTATTTACTATAAGTAACTCTACAAGTTCCACACGCTTTATTCGGAACTATGTTCTTTGTCAACAATGGCACCACCCAAAAAGAGTAATCCCCCAGAAGCGGCCAACTATGACGACTAGAAGAGGAATTGTGTTCCAGCAGGCGTCACACATCCATAGCGACTCTTAAATTGTATACGACAAGCACCACTTAGAAAAACTTGGAGGAAATTAATATTAGTTAAGAACTCTTCAAGGATTGGCGTATAGAAGAGAGTTGTTGAAAAGAGTATTTAATTATTATTGTACTCTGCAGGCTTTATGCTTTCAAAATAATAGGTAAAGCTCGAATTTTTGTATACAGATAAATGTTGAAGGATGTTAAGGCTCAATTAGATTGCGTTTGTATTTCTTTAACAAATGGATAAATCTTATAATATCGTCCGAAGTTAACAATTTATTTTCTTATTCTTTATAAAATTTATAATATCTCCGTAATGGTAATCGGACCGTATTATGGACCTATCTCACTCATTTTACTATCATATATGTATATTTATATATTATATAAGTTCCACGTTCGTAAATTGTTGAGATGCTTAGAGTTTTTTTTATTATTTTGCATATTTTACAAGTGTGTCTCAAAAATATACCGAGAAAACCACATGATGTAAGATATTGTCAAAAGACATACTTATTTACTTTTGAAAATTGTTAAGAGACTTCGTTATTAGATTTGATCTAACACATTTGCTTTGATCTAACTTCTTAAAATTTTCGTTTTTGTTTCAGATAGTTTCTTTTAGTTAAGGTTAAATAGTTAAATTTGTATTTGAAAAATTTTTAAGAAGGCAATTTAAGGGTTAATACCATAAACCACAGCTATGTTTTAAGATTTATGCTATTGAAATTTTTGAGCTTCACTTTCCTTTGTTGATTTAGAAAGCGTAGTTTGGTGTTGGACGAATTCAGTGGAATTCGAATCTAACCTCGGCGCTTAACAATTAGGTATACGCATGTATAGTTATGTTAGAGTAATAATATAATATTATATTAAGCGCTAATATTTTCCTGCAGGGTCACACAAATGTGCACAACTGCGTGTTAACACATCCAGTCGCCAAGTCATTTTATTTCGTTTAATGGAAAAGGAACTCTCTCTTATTATATATGTATGTAAATATCTCTCTTATTTTGTTTTTGGATCTTTAAACGATTTTCTAATTTTATTGCACTATTTTGTAAGAATGAATTTAAAAAGGAATAGGTTGCTACAACATTGATTTATATAAAATATTTACTATATAATATGTTATAAGTTTGTGTGTGTATATCTACCTAAGGAAATTATGCTGAATAGAGGTAAAATAAATATACAATTTTATATATTAATTGCTTATATGTACATATTTATTTATTTATATGTACATATGTATGTGTGCTTGTCAATTTCATGCTCAGTTCCAATACTAAGCTTAATTGTTTCTTCTATGAATTGATTCAAAGTACAGAGGTGTATACATATAAATATAATTTTATGTAAATTGATGTGTGCCTTATGATTAAGTGTCTGTATGTATATCAATGATATGTATGTATTGTTGACAGTGCCTTAAAAAATATTCAATTACTAAAAAAGCAATAACAAAGACGCTTCTCATAAATTAGAGCGAACAGCAGTGTTGTTTAGACTTTTCAAGGTCATTTGTCTTATTTGATAATTATATGAGATAAATTTTGACTAGGCATATGTTCAGATGAGGGTTGTTACGCGATGAAATGATAAAATTAAACACATACTATATATTTGCGTGCTGATTTTTGCACTTGTAAGCTGAAATGTTTTTCTTTACTGATGAAATTAAAAACTGACATTGTTAAAATTTAACAGCTCGTTTCAACAAAATGAGTTTAGGCTAGTGTATTTCGCACAGGGTCATCAGCGCCTGTGAAATCCACAAATCTACAAGAACAGAAGCATAAATGTCTGTATTTAATATAGTATTTGTATATGCTGCAAAAAACACGTTAATTAACGGTTGCGTATTGGCGCGCTTGGACAAACGCTTTGCGCAGTGATAAAAATCTGTACGCATGCGCACATTTAAGAACACTAATTTTATTGCCCTGGCAATAAAATTGAAATATATGCGTGTATATAAACACTAACACTAGCATAAAGCACGAAAGAAATGAAAAAATACACAAAACTACAAAAAGATAAGTGAAAACAAAAATCAAGTTGTAAAAACGCCGCTGACGAATTATCAGTTCGCTCAAAGTGACGCGTTTATATTCATTTAAGCTTTTTCATACTCTCGCAACCTGTTGATACAGAGTATAATAGTTTTGTTCACCTAATGGTTGTTTGTATCACCTAAAACTAATCGAGTTAGATATAGGGTTATGTATATATAAATGATCAGGATGAAGAGACGAGTTGAAATCCGGGTGACTGTCTATCCGTCCGTCCGCCTGTCCGTATGTCCGTCCGTGCAAGCTGTAACTTGAGTAAAAATTGAGATATCTTTATGAA